GGGTGAGCTCTTTCTAGGTGGCATGGATCTATCTGGCAGATCTGGTTATCAGGTCTGAGAGGAAAGAGTGAGGCATGGCAAGCTGGCAGTCAATCCTCCACCAAGATGGAGCAATCAATGCTGCTCAGGGGTCCTTCGGCCAGACGGAAGGAAGCGTGGGTGGTTCTTATTGTAATGTCTATTCTGACTTGCCGGTGGAATAGGAACCGGACTGATGCTCCCCAGAATGGAAAGGAGCCAGGACCATGAGGTCCTKTYTTTTTKTTAAAAAAAAAAAAAAAAAAAAAAAAAGAAGATGTTTCCCAATATGAATCTGGGGCTCTCCTTCTTGAGTCCCAAACTGTGTGGGACAGTTGACCAGGATCATGCTTTTCACTTTAAGGGAGTGATGGAAAACTATCAAAAAATTATAACAACCATAACTGAGGTGTGGAGGAGGTAGGGATGTAGTGTCAATTCTGCAACTCAATGTTGGGGTCCGCGCTTCAAAGCATTTTTTTTAATATATATTTTTAAAATAGTATGTTTTCATTGGAAGAACAAAAGGAGGCTGGGAATCCGTCCACACCTCAACAGTGCCCCATGCCTTGAAAGCCTTACATACAATTCTGAAATCAAATATGGAAACTGGAGGAACTAAATTACAAACAGCACGAAGAGGAAAAATCCCTAAAAGGACAGGAAGTAACTACTAAAATATCCCTTTTTTGAAGTTTTTGAACTTTTTTCAAAATTTTCTTACACCCTAGCTCTTCTGCGCATTCTACGCTGCATTTATGTCTGCCGTACTGTCCTGTGAATGCGCTGTTTCTAATGAGGCGAAGTCCGTTGCGTGATGTCTCCCTTGTAGTTCTTCCTGCAGCTTCCATACCAGTCTCAGAGGAGCGCTTTCTATGGTGCCGAGCTTACCTGTTCCGAGCCGGTCTTTGCTGAATTTGTCTATGATTGCTTGCTTTTTTGTGGGGTCTTCTTTAATGTTCTTGGTTGCCTAATGCCAGTCCGCCCGGTACTCCATCCGTAAGAGTTGTAGTAAGCGTACCCAAGTTCCTGGGTTGGTGTGTTTTGGCCGGCTATCGTTTGTTTGCGTCGTGTCTTCCATATGATCCACAGTATTAGGGGGCAAAGTCTTCGGAAGAGGGTTGAATGCCAAGCTTCTCGAAGGCGTGGTTGTGCCAGGCCTGTTAGCCGTGCCAGCAGGTTATCAGGTAGTGGTGTGCCAGTAATCGAAGACTAGAGCGCCTGCGTTCTGTCACAAAGCCTTTGTTCGTTCGGGCACTATATCAGGCAGTGTGGCAGATCCTCAGAGGTCCCAGCGTCGCAGACTGCACAGCTGTCGTCGAAGTCCCGTCTGGCCATTGCCGACCTTCTCTTGGTGAGCCATGTGTTGACCAGTAGGGCATGATAGTAGATGAGCCATTGCATGCTTCTTATCCGGGTGTTCCTGATGGCGAGGGGAACCTGCCAGTCAAGTTTCAGCGTATCCCCCAGGCAGCCTAGGATGTGCTTCTCCCACTGCTGTGACAGGATGAGTTCTGTGTTTACTGGTCTCTGTCTAAGCTTATAGTCAAAGCTGGTCGAGTAAGATGTTGGTTCGTTTCTGTGTCCCTGCTGACGAGGATCTTGTTTTCCAAGCCCACTCGGTCGGGTTGAACTCCAGGTCTTGTAGGAGCGTTCCTGGCTGGTATATTCTGTAGTCGTCGTCCTCGACCACTCTAATCTCCCTGAGGAGGGCTGGTTTGGCTGTGACGCGGGCCCGTGCTAATTTGGAAACCCTGCTGACTGTGATCCCTGGCTGTTCGATGTCATGGATGGTCCACAGCCCCCAGTCCCCTGCCGGTCCTGTTGACTTCACGTATGACAACGTCGTCGTGGGAGTATTCTCTGAGTGCCACGTGGCCCACTCCCCCGTAGCCCAGGTGGGAGGAGTTTGCAGTAGTGCCACCCAGTCTGGTGGTATGGATTGTAACATCGCCTGCAGGTTGGCATCCATGTTGTGGCAGCCCTTGATAAATATTCTGACCTCTGCGCATGTCTTCCAGTGATTGCCGTGGTGGTTCCAGATGTGTTGCCACACACCTCGTTCCAGCCGCGTAATCCAGTGGCCATCCTGTGACGTCAGGGTCCATGGTTTGTCGGAGGGGTCTTTCAACCACTGGTTGCAGAAAAGGGGCTGATGCAGGACTTCCTCTCTGTTGGCAGGGCTCCAAACTTTGGCTGGGAATACCTCTCGCCAGATCCTGATTAAGTACATCCAGTACTCCGACCGGGTTGACGGTGGCAGCTGTTGCTGTGGATCCATCTGTTGGGTACTGCCACAGGACGACCAAGACTTCGACATTAGCTAGAAAAGCCCCTGCATGTTGGGCGGGGTGGTGGCTTTGGGCAGCTGCCTGATCCTGTGCAAGCCCAGCGACGTCCAGGGCAGTCGTTGCTGTAACAACAGCTTGATGATCCACTTCGCTTGGAGGGCTTTGGTTTGGGTGACTGGGTCGAGGAGCCCCAATCTGCCGTTACCCTTTGATTGGACGAGGTGGGACCAAGAAACCTTGGGTATGGAGTGTTGTGCAGCGGGGTTCCCCGTCCATAAGTAGGCCATGGCTCGCCGTTTGAGAGTGGTAACCATGTTGGCCTCCGGTGTCCACATCGTAGCAGTGTAGCACAGCATGGAGAAGATGGACGCATTGAGCACCAGTGCCCTTCCAAAGACTGAGGTGTAGGTGCTGGACCAGGTATCCATTTTGTGTAGCATCCTGGTCAGAATCTCTGGCGCCATGGCTTGATCAGGGCCTGTTTCTGCGAGCTTGATTCCCAGAAAACGCAGGGGCACCCTCGCGTCTTGCCACTCAAATCCCTCGGGGGAGGCGGCTTGCGGGGGCGGCGGACAGTCTGCCACCCACAAACCCATCGTCTTATGCCAATTGACTTTCATTTCGGAAGCAAGCTGGAACGCTTGCATGGCTCGAGTAAGACCCTGTAATGATGCTTCGGAGGCTTGAACAACGGCTGTGAGGTCGTCCGCAAAGAGCAGCATGGTCTGTAAGGTCACAGCATGTGGGGGGGGAGACGGCTCTGCTACCAGTCTGTCGATGGTCGGGTCCTTGTTTAGGAAGGAGGCTATAGCTTCCATCGTGAAGAGGAACAGCGGTGCTGCCAGAGGGTCGCCTTGACGGACCGAGCATGTCATTTTGAAGGGGGTGGAAAGGAATCCATTCACTTGCACTTGGCTGTGAGCGTCGTTGTACAGTGTTCTGAGCCATCTTCGGAAGATGGGTCCGACCCCTATCCGCTCCATACATTGCTGCTGGAAGTTCCAGTTGACTTGGTCGTAGGCCTTTTCTAAGCCGAAGAACAGGATAGCTGCGTTGAGTCGCTTGTCTTTGATGTAGCGTGCCGACTCTGCCAGTGTCATGACATTGTCGAGGATGAACCTTCCTGGGATGAATCGGGTTTGATCGATGTGAAAGCAGTGGCTCGTGATCCTGCTGAGGCGGTTGGCCAAAAGTTTGGCCAGGACTTTGTATACGACGGTCAGCAGCGTAATCAGCCTGTAGTTCTTCATGTCTGGTGGATCGCTTCGTCATCTCTACATGGTGGGCGCCAGACAGTTAGCACGGGCCAATTGGTTACAAAGCCCCAGCTCGTGAGCATCAGAATCTTCTGAGAGCCTTCCAGGCTCTTCTATGCTTGGATGTGGAGGCTGTCCGCTTGGCCAATCAACAAGAAGGGAACACGTCACAGTCTGCCTGGGTGGTTGGGGCGCGCCTACTGTTCCTGGCCCAGGACACTGTCTGATCGGGGCTGGGCGCAGACACTTTGGTCCGAAGTGAAGCTACTGGGCACTCGACGTCCAGGCCCAGGAGCTGGCCAGAGCAGCTCTCGCTTTCCATAAATGAATGTGAGAGCCCACCCAGGAGGACATTCTGGCCAGGCAGGCAACACAGCCACGCTGCTGCGGTGGCACGCAAGCACACTGCACTAATGCTGGCCAGAGGCACACGCGGGTGCTGCGAGGTGTGAGGGGCGCCGTGGTGGCAGCGGCGCATGGCGGCCATAGACGGGCTGCTGGGGCGTGGGCTGGTGGGCGATGGTGGTCTTCGGGTTGGAGGCGCACATAGAGGAGAGGAGGAGGTGAGGCCGAGAGAGAGGAGAGAGACACCTACCTGGTGTATGATGGCAGTCTGTATCGGCGACGTTGTCACGTGCATCGGTCTTCAGCTGCGAAGTGACTCCTATTGCATGAACATAGTGTAGGCTAGTTAGGCTGGGTAGGATGGGCTGGGCGCTGAGCGCCAACCTGGAAGAGCGACATTGGATACTATGCTGATGTGGCGAGAGAGTGCCAACATTGAGATTTGAGTTCTCTGTATAGCTCTTATTTGGATGGTAGCTCGGTGCATAGTGCTTTCTGCTTCGTACACGACTATCTGGTCTACAGCGTGATTTTCCAATTTGGTTTTCTGTCTATCGCTCTCGCTCATTTTCCCTTGCAATAGTAACTTCCTATCAACTAATTTTACTGTCCTTTTTTGTTATTTTCTTCTTCACATTACTTTTCTGGAGCACTTTATTTATTTCTTTTCTGGTGCCCATGACGTTACGACGGTACGTGTTCTAATATATTGAATATGCTTCCGTAGATTTCAATTCATGATGATAAATCAGTCCTCATGTGTTTCGGGTAAATAAAATTTCTGCACTGAAAGGGGATTGGCCCTAATGTTAATCATATCCAACAGGGTTTAATTTTCAACCTCTTGCTCAGCATTTCAGATACGAACATCTTCACAAAAGGTGATTGCTCCTTATTTCACCACCCAACAGGATTTGGAGTCCTTTTGGACTCTTTAACCTCTTGCTCGACAGTCCTATGGTAGGTTTGTACATTCAGCTAAAAGGCTCTGCTACGAAGAGTTTTGTGACTTAGGTGTGTACATTCAGCTACAAGGCAGCTACAAACATTTTCACAAGTTCATGAACCGAACTTGTTCTATTTTTTGCAGGATGCACATTATAATAAGAAGGCCTTGCTGGTGAGGGACAATGAGGACAATACTGATGTTTTTGCTGAATATAAATCAGTGCGATTAATCGGAGCTCCTGATTGGTCAAAATGCCGATCCCTTGCTCGGGCAGTGGTCCATAATGTTCCACCTTGTGCAGGGTCATGTGCTTTGGGCACCAGCCAGCCGGTAAGACAAAATCAGCCACTACTACAGCCCAATAACAATAAGCCCTGCTCTGTTTTCTTTTGTGTTTTTCTCCTTCTGCCTTCTCGGCAGGTGTGCTTTGCTACTTCCCCCCCCCCCCCCGGTACGTTTCTCTTGATGTTATGCACATGCTAGCATGTTATGGACACTAGAGTGTGAATGTTCGTGTTGAACACAAAAGGTCGTATATGGGTTGCAAACTTGCGGTTGTGATTTGATTACTGTTGTATCCTGGCGACTTCGTATGAATTTATTGGGTTCTGGGATTGTATTCTTAAATGTTTCCTTGTCTGGTTTTGTAGTTCAGGAACATGCCATTCATCACCCATGAAGGTTATTCATTCTCTAGATGCCTGTGGACGGGATGTAAGTTGTTGTTTTATTTTATATATTACGATTTTCAGAGTTGCACTCCCAACCGTCAGCAGCCCCTGACTGATATCCTGCCAACCGACCAACCAATGGATCAATCCATTGGTGCCCACCGGGTAACCACTCGTCACCCTCCGCAAGGCTTGGGGGGGTTGTTTCACACATGCACAGCCGTGTACGTGATAGGCACAGTAAGAAGGTAACTACAAAAACAAAGAAAATGGGAGGCGTCCCAATGCTAGCTGATGAACATATAATCAAGGAAACGATATAACGAATTTAATGTCTCGTATTGCTTTTTCTGCTGGGTTGGCCCATCTCAAGTGTGTTGCATTGCTTGTGTAAAGGTGAGATTCCTTGCTTGTTTAAAGGTGAGGTTCTGAATAGATATTGACTTCACAAGCAAAACTGTTTCATTGGTGGATTGGCTCATCTTGAGAATGCTTCATCGTCTGCAATACAGGAAAAGTCCGAAAAGTTGCTATGACTTTGGATCTACTCATCTGGGTGGAATAGGGGAAGAAGTTGTGGTGATATTTTATAACACACATACACCTCCTGATAAGTCGGTGAAAGTACGGCGAAACAGTCTGGCACAGTCATGCTTTCTTAAAGTGTATAGCGAATATGACAACACACACATACACTTGTGGAGTTGTGTATAGCAAACGTGACAAAACACACAGACAGAAGCACACAAACAAAGAGAGAGAGAGAGAGAGAGAGAGAGAGAGAGAGAGAGAGAGAGATCTTGTCACTGAACATGGTAGAAACATTGAAATCGGTTTTCCAGAACTAAGTTCACATTTATGAATCCGTTTCATCCCTATTTCATTTACCTTGCATGCCTTGAAAATCCCCTTCCAGAGGGTTCTCACCTGCCCGATACAGCTGAGTATTCCATGAATCGTCACTGATAAGAGCTTGCCGCCATACGGTCCATGACACTGCGTGAATTTATCTTCTTGAATCTAACACGAAATCTTGGTAGAATCAAGATCTGAACGGTGTCTAAGGTCTCCTTTTCATCCCCTACCATGTCACACAGCTGGATTGTCGAGAGCAATCCCCTTTTGGATGCTCCTCTCCAACTGAAACCTCCTATAGAGGTCCCTCTCCAATACAGTCTCCAAGTTGGCCCCTCTCCCCAAGTAGGGTCCTCACGTAGAGTCTCCCTCCCAAGTAGAGGTTCCAATACGGCTCGGTCCTCCTCAAGTAGACTCCCCTCTCTTACAAGTAGAACCTCCTTTCCTCCAGTAGAATCTTGCCTCCAAAGGCTAGAGCTCTCCCTCCAGTGGGCGAGAGCTCTCCTTCCAGTAGGCTAGATCTTCCAAGGGGCTAGAGTATCCCTTTAATGACTGATCTCTCAACCCCACTCCCTCAACACTTTGTCCTCTAGCCTTACTCAAATGTTGGTTCTGTCAACCTTACTCTCTGACTCTGAGCGGCACCAGTCCGGCGGCACTAATCCAAGGTAGCTTTGAGCTACCCAGAGTGCCTCCCTTGCCTTTCTAGATAGTGTAGGCAGCTCAGACTAGTGTCCATGCTGCCTTATCATGATTACGGGAGATCCAAGGTGAAAGGCGAGGTACAACTTTGTCTTTTCCTCCCTGATCTTCCCTCTCCAGCCTTTTGGGCAAGGGAAGGCAGTTCGTTGGTAAACACTTCCTCAGACAGCCATTGGAGATACCGAACATTTGTACACACACTAACAGAAGTGTTTTCTACCTTGGAACAGCCTCAAAATCAAGCTTGACCCTGGGAGGAAAGCTTTTGGCTTCCCTCGTGTTCATTTTAGCGACGTTTTGGTTTGATCTGACGTTTGGCTAGTTGCGAGGTCTCATTTCGCTTCCAATAGTCTCAGCCTTTAATCTAGACTGACCGGAGGCTCATCTTTGGTCTGTAGCCTTTTGTTAGGTCAAGGTGCAAACATTCATGTTTTCCGTCTTTGATGACGTTGCTGTTGTCAATGTGTCAAATCTGGGTAAAGACCGTGGTCTCCGGACATTGATCGATGAGTTTGGACACCTCCCTATAGCCCAAATTCAACATGTGCCCTTCTCCAAACAGATCTCCAGGGCTATCCTGATAGCTGGTTTGGCACAGAGTTGAGGAATTTCAGTCAGGACAAAGGCCCTAACTGGAAACTGTTCACCATGCTATTTGTGGACTGTTCTCTTGGGCCTATAGGCCTTGGGCGCAAACCATTGTGAGTTGCGTTTGGTGTGGTGTGGTTTGTTTGGATGGTGATGCGGAGGTCTTCTCTGGGAGCGTGTTTGCCCCTTTTTTTGGCCTTTGTGCCAACGGCTCGATCCATCACGAGTCCTGTGTGGTGTGGGCTGGTTTTCTGGCGGTAGCACCGGGGTCATTTCCCAGACGAAGGACTGGACAGGTCTATGATGATAGCAATGTATTTGGTGAGGGAGATGTGCTTAGTCCTTTCGGTTTGGATGTGGCTAGGGTGAGAGGTTGGAAGGGTATAGGCTGCGGTTGATGTCGCCAGTTGGTGATGGTGTGAGACAAGTCAATCATCATATGCTTCACGACGACCATTTTAAACCCCCACTGTTAACTTGCATTTATTTTTTTTGTTTCATTGATGATTCCACAGTTTGCTGTTTGACCTATGTCGTGCAAATCCTGTTGACTGCAAGTGTGGTTCCTTGTTTGCGTTCCTCGAATCTTGAGAACCGGAGGCCGAAAGGGCCCAAAACGCTTTTTCCCTCCCCCAAGTTCTCTCTTTTCCCGCTTGTTCTTTGTGCTTTTGTGATTGTTCTTTTCTTGTTTTCTTCGAGGTAGGTTCCTACCTAGGACAACCGTCAGCGCTGGATCTTTCTTGATATGGGGCTGATTTTTTTTTTTCCGAGGGAAAGGAAGGGTATCACATTTTTTTTAGGTGTCTGTGGTTTGAACATGAATTTGGACCTGAAGTTGGTGAAGGACAGATTTTGTCGTTTTCCAACTCAAAAGGACCCCCAGATCTCTGATTGGTCCGCCGGTTGGATGACTTGCTTCATGTATTCGGTCATATCCCCGAACCACCCTCGTTTGCAGGGCATAGGCCGCAAAATCCTGCCACACGTGCCTTTGGGCATAATCTTTGATCTCCCCTGCAGTCCGGAACTTTGACAGAGCCCATGGCTGAGATACCTCCGTCTTCATCTATGCCCTACCCTCTTCACACGAAAATAACGCCCGGGCGTTATATTCAACTTCCCCTAAAAAGATGAGATTTTCGTTTTTACTCACTTTTTTCCTAATAGAATGCCCCTTCGAATAGAACGCCCCATGGGCAAAGTGCCTCGAAGAGGTAGTATACATGGGTTTAAAGGGCAGAGGAGGTGTACATGGGTTTTGAAGAGGGTTGAATGGTGTTTTGACTTCCAAGTTCCAAGGGGTATATTTTGGCTTGATTTTTTGTTTTTATTTTTTTTTTCCGAGTTTAGAAGGATTTCTGAAGTGACCCTCAGCCAAAAGTTGGTCGCATTGCAATCCTGGACAACATATTTTTTTTACGGAATTTTTTTAGTTTTATTTTTTCCTGAGGCAGGACGCCGCCCGGGCGGGCCTGCCCTGCCAGGCTGGGCCCAGCCGGTTGGGCCCGGGGGGGCCGCCCAGGTAAACCGGGCAGGACTAAAAAACGCCCAGAATTTTTTTTATTTTTTTTTTGAAACTGGGGTCGTTCTGCGCTCGGCGAGAGGACCCCGAATCTGCAATAAAATTTTGGTTTTGGTGGACGGATGGGGGGGTTGGTCTGGGTGGGGG